GCCCTAAAGGCCTGATTTTGGACCAGCACCCATCGGGTAGGCCCAAACGACACTTCGTTTGGGCCTGGCGGCGCTCTTGAAGCTGCCGCCYGCCGATTGAGGCTGAACCGTCCATCTGGACGGTCCAGGGTCTGGCCTGGCCTCGCAGCATTGAGGCCAGACCATTGCCTACCGGTATAATTTCCGGTACCCGCCTCAGTTGAGGGATCGGCCTACCGGAACTCTACCGGCACGGCATGGTCAGTACCAGTGTACTGTTTGGATGCGCAAAACTTAGCGCAGGGGCTGAAGCAGGAGCGCAGCATAGCGCAGCTTAGCGCATCAGCGAGCGGAGCAGCAGCAGGGCGACTGAGCCAGCACGGCGGCCATTGCCGCCTGAGGTACCGGGAGCTTGGAGGGTCTCTCCTCCTCTCCCTCGCCAGTCCCCTCTCTCTCTCTCTCCTCTTCCTCCTTCTTCTTCTTCTTCTTCTTCTTCTTCAGATTGGAGACTGTCCAGTTGGACAGAGATCAGGGTTGGATTTCGGTGACACGAGACTGTGGTACTTACCTGACTGGAGACTTGGAGATTGTTGAGGTTGATACTCAGCTGCATCACAGTTGGACACCGGTTACATCTGGACTCTGTTATCTCCGACATTGGTGACCTTTGGTCCTCGACATTTTGATCTTGTTATATGATATTCTGGGCTACCATTTCGGAGACCTACCAGACTCTATCTTGTGACCTATCGGTGTGATCTACCTCCTACCTCCTTCGTCTCTCCTCCCACTTTTCATCTGTGTATGTGTGTACGGGATCTGGGTATCGTCAATGAATGACCCAGACCCCACCATCCCATGATTGTATGTGTGTGGAGTGATGCCATGTAGGTCAGTCTATGTGAGTCAGTCTATGTGAGTCAGTTCGTTATCAGACTTCCGCTGCATAAATGCTCATCCTATATTGGTTGATCTTTGGTTCTGCCCATACTCATTGAAGTATGTAAGAGCACAAGACAAAGGATAGCATTTTTCGTCGCAGAGGCTGGCAGTGACTATCCCTTCGTAGTGTTTGGAGGAGAGGCCATGTCAACCAAACTGTACCTGTGCGACGACACAATGGGATGACGGCACATGGAGAGGGCCCTTCATTGTTCGTGGTAGAATCCGTCCAATCCACACAGGGAGGGAATGCTGCCTGCCCATGCACAGGGAAAGAAGGTTCAACCGGATTGCTCTCCGGAGGCAAGTGCTTGCGAGTGCTCATTGACATACTGTTCCTGATGGACGAGCCAGACCGAATGATGTTATAAGCTAAGAGCACTGAAATGACCTGGATGTTGTAAGATGTTTGCCCAAATATTTGGATCCATGCCTGGCATGTGATTTTGTGGAGCAGGCTGGAGTTGTAGTCGCCTACCCATAAATGCCATAGACAGGACTTCTATGTTCTCGTCAGGTGCAGTGCTGTGATCCTCCAGGCAGATGGTACGGTGCTCCTCTTGTATCCAGCAGACAACGTCTGCAAAATCAGAAACGGTATAAGGGTTGCAATTGCAGGCAAGGAGACATACATTAATGGCATAGCACACATAGCGGCCTCACTGTAGCACTATGACATCATCCGATTCTGCAGGTTGTGCAGCACGGGGAGGTTGATCCAATTCTGCAGATTGCACGGCAGGCTGAGATTCATCACGGTCTTGACCATTTCTGTCAGGCTCCTCCAGCTCTATTAACTCCATTGAATCCGGTATGTGCTCCAGAGAGAGATCATCTCAAGTCGGAGGCTCCCTCAGGTGATCGGAAGGTGGATCATTATCATTTGAGGTGGCGGAGCATGCAGGGTCAGGCGGATGAGGAATAGACGGGTCAGATGCAGAAAGTGGAGGTTGATCAGTCGCACTTGAGCTCAAAGTGGCTGCTAGTCGTGCAAATGCTGCGCAGGTAGATGCAACTCATGTCTGGTGCACACGGAGGCCTGCAGCACTGAAGAAATCATCACCACATTGTGGGCATCAGACTCGATATGTGCTACTACTCGCCAGTGTATATCGAGAGCGGCGATATCCTTCCAACCCCTGCAGGGGCCATGGTATTCATGCTGTTCTAGACATGCAGCTGCTGTGTTGGAGGCCGCGGCGAAGATGGGGAATGTCTCCGTCGAAGAGGCATCTGTAACAATCGATCTGACACTGCCTGTCTCTGCCAACGGGGCCTTTGTGACAGCCGATCTGACCATGAATGTGTTCATGATGAGGCAGATGAAGAGTGGGACGCATGCGAGGTGAGGAGGAAGAGGCGGAAGAAGAGGAAAAGGAGGCAGATGATTGAGGGGATGTAGTAGTAGATGTCGGCAGAGGAGATGGTGGAGATGGTGGTGATGGTAGTCGTCGCGGCGGTGGGGGTTGGGGTGGGGGCAGTGACTGTCTCTTATACACATCTAGATGTGTATAAGAGACAGGCGTTCAAGACACGGTATGGGCATTTTGAGTGGGTTGTCATGCCATTTGGCCTCACCAATGCCCCCGCAACGTTTCAAGCAGCAATGACGGCTGAGTTTCGCGACTTGCTCGATCGCAGCGTCCTCATCTACCTTGATGATATCTTGGTTTATAGTAGGACGTTCGACGAGCACATCGTACACCTTCGCGTTGTCTTGAATCGTTTGCGACTAGCCAAGTACAAAGCGAATCTCGACAAGTGCGAATTCGCCAGGCAAGAGCTTGAGTACTTGGGCCATTTTGTCACGCCGAAAGGCATTCGTCCCTTAGCGGACAAGATCCAAGCCATCGTGGATTGGCCGGAACCCCGTTGCACGACGGATGTACGCTCTTTCATGGGTTTGGCTGGATATTATCAGCGATTCGTCGAGTCATACTCGAAAGTGGCCGCTCCTTTGTCGAGACTTCAGTCCCCGAAGGTGCCCTTCGAGTTCGACGACGCAGCCCGTGGCGCGTTCACTACGTTGAAGGCAGCGATGCAAGCCGCACCTGCCCTCCGTATATATGACCCCACCCTACCCACCCAAGTGACTACGGACGCTTCGGGATACGGTATTGGTGCGGTGTTGGAATAGTGTCACGAGGACGATTGGCATCCGATTGAGTACTTCTCGCAGAAGGTGCCTCTCGTCAACACTCTTGATGACGCTAGGAAGAAAGAACTACTCGCGTTCGTCACCGTCCTCAAACGGTGGCGCCACTTTCTTCTTGGCCGTCGGCGTTTTAAATGGAATACGGATAACAATCCGTTGACATTTTACAAAACGCAGGACACGGTCACTAGTACGATCGGTCAATGGATGTATTACATCGACCAGTTCGATTTTGACCCGTGTCACATTCCCGGTCCCGCCAATCGAGCTGCGGATGCCCTCTCACGACGGCCCGACTTTTGTGTCATTGTGACCACGACATTCAACCTCGATGACGATCTGCAGCAACATTTCGTCAAAGCCTCCAAGTCCGATCCGACTTACTCTACGCTTTACGCAGAGCTTTCATCGGATCACCCGCCGGCTAGCCATTATCGGATTTCCGACGGGTTCCTTCTCCTTCACACGAGAGGAAAGGACTTGTTAGTTGGACTTGTTAGTTGTGCCCCAAGATCGTATCTTACGGACTCGTCTTCTCGGCGAATTCCACGATGCACGACTTTCGGCACACCTTGGCATGAACCGCACACTCGCACGCCTCCGCCAGCGTTTTCACTGGCCCGATGTCCTTCATGACGTCACGAGGTACATTGAGTCATGTGCAGTTTGCCACCGTAACAAGGGTCGATCTCGAGTCCCCTTCGGCGAACTGAAACCGTTGCCGATTCCTCGGGCACCACGCCTCTCCATTGCTATAGATGACAGGCCCGTTTCCCCGCGATCGCCACGGCCATGACGGTATTCTCACGGTCGTTGACCGTTTGAGCAAGTATGCTCGCTTCCTTCCTTGCAAG